CTATATTCAATTTTGGTATTATACTTTGAAGAGGTTGCTGTCTTCTTTTGTCTGTCACGGTTCACGTAAAACGAAAACTTCACATGCATCAGTTACAAATCGTGAAGAGGGAAGAAAACGTTCTGTATCGATTCAACATTTCGATAATCCATATTTCCCTCGCATTAAATTTGTCTTATAATTCAGTTACGAACAGTTGCGCACTAACCGACTCTGGCATGCGTGGCAGCATACTTAAGTAAAAGATCATCAGAGTGGGATTGTGGTTTCTGGGACTTTATTGAACTACGTAGACAGAAAGAAAAAGTGTCGAATAATGAATGAAATAATTAAAAAAAAAAAAAAAAATAGTGAAAAAAAGCCATCGCTATTCACCTGGGAAAAAATGATTTAATGAACTTTCAGTATTCTATTTTAATTAGAAAAATAGAAAAACGAGAAAATTCCATACTTTACATATTTTATATATGCTTAAACATTCGTAGTTTAATTATCATACGTACGTATGACATACGCATATTAATTATTGTACGTGCATATTATCATTACGTAACATAGGAATCTGTCTCGCTTAGAAAACTCAACAACTAAAGCTACGAAAGTGATCGAAATGGCCAATTTGTAATTTTCGTTTTTTTCGATATTTTATATAGACATGAAACAATACATTTTTAGAGATTTAAGTGATTCTTCGTGAAAGCTTTCGTGTACTCCATTGTATTATAAAATATTCTCTATTTTTTTCTTTCTGTTTTACTTTTATGTCTCTGATAGAAATTTTAATGGCCGATAATTCTAGCGTTAACATTATCGTTCTTTTTAAGGATTTTCTCGCTTCAGTCACTTTCCTTTTATTTAATTACTATTGGAAACACGAGATTATCTCATTTATTTGTAATTACTATGAAATCATAAATATGGCACTTTACACTGCATCTGGCTACAAAAGAAAAGCAAATTGTAAATTGACATCAGTTTCCGGGCCATGATTCGATCAGAGAATTTTATTCCTCTCGACAAGTAAAATATGATCCAAGAAAATTTTTGCGATCTAATTATGATGTTTGATTTCTTCTACGCATTATCCTTTGAATCATATGCATAATGTATAATTGGTATTATTAATAAGTATGCAAGTGAGTCGCTAAGATGATTCGATCGAAGTTCTTCAGTTACACGTTATATTGTATAACAGCATAATTATCATTGAAAAAGTTGTAAAATTATAATTATCATTCAGATATGATTGGAAAATCACGTATCGAGACAGGAAAGTTTAGAGATTTTATTTTAAACAAAAGTGAAACTATCTCTTTCACTGGTACATTGACGATTCCTCGCAGTTGCTCAAACAGGTTGAAGTGCGAAACTTGTGAGAGGCTGTTGAAATTATTTGAAGAAACACAAATGATTTTATTTTTTCTTTTTTCTTTTTTTTTTTTTTACATTTCAATAAGAAAATAACCGGTTACTTTGAGTAGAGGCAACTTAAAGACAAATCACTTGATCGATAGTTCGAGTAAACGAAAATATCTAAAAATATACCTTCTATGTTCGAAGTAGAGAAATAGAGAAGCTTGAGATAAGAAAGATTGGAATTTACAACGGTTTTACGTTAACAAAATAGTGGTAAATAAATAATCGCAACGCAATTTTTGTTAGTTATTTCTCTTCTCTCTGTATAACTCTTCTGACTTCAGATAATAATACATATAGTGTCCTTATTTACACAATCGAAATAATAATACAATAATAATATTCCTGTTTGCACGATCGAAATTTTAATTAAAAATTACACCGATAATAATTCTAATAGCATTAATACCTTTTTTCTGAAAATATGATTTCATTTATTTTTTTCAATTATATCCACTCCAATCACATTTAATATATAATATATATGTACTATCGTGCAGTACAAGCTATTATTTATAGATGAAAATAAATTGGAAGCTAATGAATGAAATGTGACAAGTATGATAAAAATATAGTTACATGATAAAAATTTTTGTTTAAAAAATATAAATCAGAGTTGGTGAATCTTGCCAACTTTTGTGCCATTGTTTTATGTCATTGACTGAACAACCTTGGGAACAGTGAATTAGCATGAATTAGTAGCCATTCTCTGACTCTTACGTACCCTCTTCTTATTATCCAAATAATTAACACATCGTTCTCTGTCAATTTCACGCTTGGAAATTCACGACTTGAGACAGGTTTTCTGTTGAAAAAAATTCTAGAGAAGTTCAACTCTATGAAGCTGTTTTTCAAGCAAACGGCTAAGCATTTCTCATTAAATGGGAAGCTTTCTGCTAATCTTAAACAAGTTCGAGTTACCTGTTAACACGTTCCGTGCCATGTGTACCACCGGTGGTACACGTTAAACTT